AAATTAGAAGATAATGAAAATCATTAAAATGAGAGAAATTTTTTAATATAATTAAAATTTTACCAAGAATTTTATAAAAATTTTTGAAAATAATTGAATTTCAGAGAAGAATTTTATTATTTGAATTTCAAAGATAATTGATTATTTGACAAGAATTTTTAACATTTTTGGAACATAATTGAATTTCTGCGGAGAATTTTATTACTTTTAAAAATAATTAAATTTCTGTAATAATTTTCTTATGAATTCTAAAAATTTAATTTTTTCCAGTACTTTTAATAAAAATCCATGATTTTTCATTGATTTCCCGGACCTGTGTTAAATCTGAAATGTAAAGTATGTTATGGAAATAAAATAAAAAACCGCTGCCAAATTGTATATTTTTTTATAAATTTGCTGCTCATTTTATGACAACTTTGCTTCCTCATAAAGATAATAATAATAGAAATATATGAATAACTTTTTATAAATATAGTAAAAGTGATTACATTTTGGATAAATCAATGTATTTTTTTAATATCCTACAAGATAGTTATAATAGTTTAATAGTTATAAAAAAAGTTTTCAAACAAAAAAGTTGAGAAAATGTCATTTTCCACAATTTTTGTTTTTAAAATCCCAATAATTTCGAAATTTATGATCGAATTAGTTTCAAAAATAGGTCAATCGAAGCGTTTTTAATGATCTAGAAGTTAGTAATAATATTTTTAAAGTTACTTTTACATTTTTAACAAAATTTTCAAAAAAGACATATTTTCTAAAATTTTAGATTATTAAAAGTTTAATATCTCTGGTCAAAATGGACGAAAAATGTTCAATAGTGGCTCAAAAGATGCGTCTAAAAAAACTGTACAAAATTATGGAAAGACATTTATGAGTGTCCTAACATTTTTTTAAAGTTATGGGCAAAAAACGTTTTTTTGCAAAATTAAAAATAAAAAAAAAAATTAGTTAAACTTTATTAATCTATCCCAAAGTACTCTCATTTTATGTCCGCAGGTGAGATCTACAATTTAAAAAAAAATTCAACCCAAAAGCTCTTCATAAACTCGAGATATTTATGAAAATGTGATGTTTACACACAACACACACGGAATGGCATTTTCTAAAAATGTCATTTTTTAACTCCTGAGGTCAAATAACATGAAAATATGTCAAAAATTCGAACTCGAAAAATGTTGATATTACAATACTTCCTCTATGAGGGAGCAACTTGTTAATAATTTATTTACAGTAACATTTGAATTATCGTTTCTTAGTAGCAACATTTTAAGAAATTAAAATTAAAAGGTTAATAAACAAAACTCCTGATAACATTACACTCTAAAATAATTTTTCTTCTATTTAAAAAATCTTAGAGTCGATTACGTAAATTAATTTGATTTTGATTTAACTTCCAACGCATTTTAATTTTTTAACTAGACAGTCTTAATTTCAACTCGGCTTGCGTGAAAATAAAGGTAGACATTCTGAATTTACAGTTCTACTTTTTTATACTAAACATACATCTTCTGATATTTAACATGATTTTTAACATAATCAGCATGCTTTAATGTTTAAATTCAGCAAAAAATATGATTTGAAATTAAACAAAGTCCATCTTAAAAGTTTTGCATCTTAAATTAAGGTACCTTTCATGGTTGAAAATAAGACTTTCTTCTTACTGTGTACTTATTTCAACTATATGGGAAACGCTATTTTGTTTTTTTAAAAATTAATATCAGATTCGTAATCAGCGACCTCGAAAATATCGAGTAGCGACTGTTAAGAAAATTTCTCCATCACTTGCTCTGAAAGGAGTACTTTTCTTGGTAGAAAAGTGTGGCGAAAGTAGAACTTTTCTCAACTGCTCTGAAGAGCGTGGCGAAAGTAAAATTTGGCGTGGCGAAAGTAAATTCAGCGTGGCGAAAGTAATTTTTAGCGTGGCGAAAGTAAATTTGGCGTGGCGAAAGTAAATCATGAATTTTTTCTTTTTTCTTGTTCTTTGACCGAGATTTATTTTGTATCTAACTTCTTCCCTACTCAAAACATTCGTCTTTTATTATATTAAACATAAGCACACGTTAAATTAAAATTATACGAAAGTCATGAAGAAACCTTTCCTCGCAAGGCGTTGGAGAAAACATAGTGCACAACTCGTGGTGAAAGAATGATTTTTCGAGAGTGAAGTTTGCGGCTCGAGCGTAGCGAGAGCAGCAAACTTCACTCTCGAAAAATCACACTTTCGCCACTAGTTGTACAATGTACTATTAATTACTTTTTCGACTTTTGACCACGTTTTCGGCATTTGGAACCACTCAGTAAAATGCGTACTTTTCTTCAGGTACTTTTTCATGTTCTTACAATCGCTATTTGTTGTCATGATACTTCGATGTCTCTAGTTAAAATATTCGCCATATTAATATTATTCACAAATTTATTCAATTTTTTAATTTTGAAAATAATGTTTATTAATATGGAAATTTATGTTTTGAATATTAAATCTCTTATATCAAATAAGCGCTTTCAGCTATTATTACAGTTGCAACTTAGAGTTCCCAGCCTCGGAGACTTACACTTTTAGTCTCTGCAAACTTAGAACCCTTTTCATTCAATTATTTTTTATATAGGTCGTTTCTCTCATATGGCGCTTTCTATGGACTACGAGAACTTGCGCACTAAATAAATAAATAAATAAATATATTAAATATATCTCATATTAATTAAGACTCTACTTAATTTTTTAAAATTTTGCTTAATGCTAAGTATGTAAATGATTAATTCAATTAAATATAATATTTTTATTTCCGGTGTATATAGTGTGTGCTTGTTTAAACTTAGAAAGTTAATAACGCGAAATACATATTCCGTATAGATGGATGAAATGATTTGGACATTTGCATTCAAGTCGACAAGATATAATATGAAAGGGAGTGACGGCTAACTTGAATATGGGATTAAACCAGCAACAATTAATCCCCTAGGTGAGATAAAGGGGCCGGTGTCAGTGCGGGGTTCAAGTGTTTACGGCCTCTCATATTAATCAACATGCTAAATTTAGTAGACCTCAGAATTTTCAGTAAAAGATTATTATTATCCCACTGCCTAGAGGTTTATTTCAATTTTCTCATTATTTTATTATTATATTTGCTTTGTTAACTATTATTATTATATTTGTTTAATATTGGTTTTAAATTGTAATTTTTTTTTTTATTACTTCCTCATAGAGGAACTATTGTAATACCAAAATTTTTCGAGTTCGAATTTTTGACATATCTTTATGTTATTTGACCTCAGGAGTTCAAAATTGACATTTTTAAAAAATGTCATTCCGTATGTGTGTGTGTGTAAATATCACATTTTCATAAATATCTCGAAATCATGAAGAGCTTTTGGGTTGAATTTTTTTTAAATTGTAGATCTCACCTGCGGACATAAAGTGAGAGTACTTTCTGATATATTAATAAAGTTTAACTAAATTTTTTTTTGATTTTTAATTTTGCAAAAAAACGTTTTTTGCCCATAACTTTAAAAAAATGTTAGGACACCTATAAATGTTTTTCCATAATTTTGTAGAGTGTTTTAGACGCATCTTTTGAGCCCTAATTGAACATTTTTCGTCCATATTAACCGGAGTTATTTAACTTTTAAAAATCAAAAATTTTGGAAAATAAGACTTTTTTGAAAATTTTGTTGAAAAACGTAGAAGTAACTTTAAAATTATCGTTATCAACTTGTAGAGCATTAAAAAACGCTTCGATTGACCTATTTTTGAACCTAATTCGATAATAAATTTCGAAATTATTGGTATTTTAAAAACCAAAAATTGTGAAAAATGACATTTTCTCAACTTTTTTGTTTGAAAATTTTTATTTAATTATTAAATTATTGTAACTATCTTGTAGGGTATTTAAAAATACATTGATTGACTCTAAATTCAATCACTTTTACTATATTTATAAAAAGTTATTCATATATTTCTATTATTTTTATCTTCATGAGGAAGTAAAGTGTTCATGAAATGAGCACCAAAATTATAAAAAAAATATACAACTTGGCAGCGGTTTTTTATTATTTTTAACAATCTTATTTTTACTCTCGACCGATAGAAAAATTATTATTGTTGTACGATTATTTTTTAAAATGTAAATTTATTTTCATTGTTTTTAATTATAATTTTATTCAATTTTAGTAGTATAGCTAGGGGGGTTCTGGGGCAGGTTCTGATCTCGGCTAAGTACCTACGGTCGGTAATGTAGATTTCTACTTTATCATCAGTCGGTAAGGTAGGGACCTGACAGAAATCTTGACTCAACCGATAAGGTAGGAATCTGTTTTACCGACCGAGTGTAGTTCCTGCTGCCACTGCTAGATGGCGCCACTAGCGAATTCAAACTTGCTTGGCGGAAAATTTAAAAATTTAATTTTAAACTTTCGAGTGGCTTACAAGGGGTTCTCTGTTTTACCGACCGAGTTAATTTAAACTTAAACCGCTAGATGGCGCCACTAGCAAATTCAAATGTGCTTGGCGGGAAATTTAAATTTTTACTTTTATAGCTTTAAGTGGGTTAAAAGGGGTGCTCTGTTTTACCGACAGGGTTCAAGGTTAAACCGCTAGATGGCGCCACTAAATTTTTATTAATGAAGGTAAGTTTAATTGTTATTTATAAAATATTATTTGTAAATATTTGTTTATTATATATACAAAATAACTAATTGTTTATAATTAATATTTATGTATTGTGTATATAAAATAATCAAATGTTTATAATTAATATTTATTTATTCTTAAAACTATTTATTTATTTAAGTAAGGTAAGTTTAATTAACTTCTTATTTATTAATATTATTATTATTACTATTATTATTTTATTAATTATAAACAATTTATAATTTAGGTAAGTGAAATTATTACTTAAAACTACAATAAGCGTTTTAAATTCAAATTGAATTTCGCGCGTTACCGGCGGTGAGCTCGTTGCCGGCGGTGAGCTCAAAGTAGTTCAAGTCAACCGCCACACGTAGCAGAGTGGTGAGCGCGCGTAGTGGGGGAACCACTTGGTGGGGAGAGAGCCCTACGAGGGTAGCTGGTCTAGGGTAGAGAGCTCATTCAGCTCATAGCAGTGGAGTTAGCAGTCCACCATGGAAACAAGCTGCTGGTGCTACCACGGCCGGAGTATAACGTAAGTAATATAATATAATTAATAAAATATAGTAAAATATAATATAATTAATAAAATAGAGTAAAATATAATATGATTAATACAATATAGTAAAATATAATATAATTAATATAATATAAATTCATTAGTTGCAGAATGAAGGTAACGAGGTGCTATTTCCGATGACTTCACCAAGGCCACTTCCATCACCAGAGCCCAGGGTGAAGATGACCAAGGCCAGGACGCATTCTCTTGAGCCCAGGGTGAAGACGACACTACCGCTATCCCGGGCGTATTATAGTTAATATTCATAATAATATTAATTAATAAAGTATGTATTTATTCTGCGCATGCGCGAATTGGTGGGGAAAATTTAAGAGTGGGATGCGTGATAGGTTGGAGTGGGGTAAATGGTCTAGTGCGCATGCGTGAAAGGTTGGAGTGGGGGTAAATGGTCTAGTGCGCATGCGTGAAAGGTAGGAGTGGGGATTTCGGGGTATATATTCAGGGATTTTGGTGAGTTTAGTCAGTAGCTGTTCTGTTCACAGGTTCAGCGGTTCCAACAGCAGCAGCAGCAGATTCCCATTGCCACTACTAACTGTCTTTTTTGTTATATTTACTGTCTTTTTTGTTACATTTATTGTTATATTTACCGTCTTTTTTGTTATTTATATTTACTGTGTTCTGTGTTTATTGCATTTACTTTGTATTGATTTTTAGGTTAAGTTCTTTAGTTTGTAAGTTCGTTTTGTTTAGTATAAGTATTTTAGTTTGTAAGTGTGTTCTTTTGTTAGTTTGTAAGTTCGTTCTTTTGTTAGCTTGTAAGTGTGTTCTGTTTAGTTTGTAAGTGTGTTAGCTTGTAAGTGTGTTTCTTTTGATTTCAGGTGCAGAGATGAAGCGGAAGGCGACGACCACCGATGGACCACCACGTAAGTATCCGAATTACGGTACTATTCTCGACGAGAGTGACATCACTGTCACCCTCATTAAAGAAGCCCTTGAGTTGATACCTTATTTAAGTAACGTAAATGAGAGACGCTCTTTTATCGAACGATGGGTTGTAGAATGCTCACAACATGAAAACGTGTTATCAAGCATTCTTAAATCGATGTACTTTACACATCAAAAGCAAAGATGTGTAAGCATTCTACAATCCATCATAAGGTTTCGCGCATTGTTTGAATCCCACGTAATAGATGGCGCTGGAATCGGTGACCCAGACATTAAGAAACGTGTTCGCTGGGCAGAGTGTGAGAGTGCTTTCGCGTGTAGACTGTACACTAATATGGTCTTGAACCTAGTACACGTCGATGTAAGCTCGTTTTTAAACGATGCGTCCATACTGTTTCAGGACCACATTAGAGGTGCCTTAAATAAAAATGGACCTATTGTAGTGTATGGTGTTCTCATCGCCAATTTTAAGAGGGTTGAGAATGATGTGGAGGTTGTTAAGCCTATTCCTTTTGGAACCAAGGCCAACAGCATCTTTCCCACAACCCTTTTAGACGATTGGTTTGATGAGAACATCAAACATCCGATTTTGCACAGCGTCGAAGAGTTCTATGCAAAGGGTTCAAATTGGAACCTTCAATCAATCATAAGATTAGAAATAAATGTAAATAAATATAATCCAATGCGTGCAAGCTCTTACATTGATTTACCGATAAAAATAAAAAATAAACATGCATGTATTAACGTGCAAAATAATGACAATGAATGTTTTAAGTGGGCGGTATTGTCAGCCTTACACCCAAATGTCTCCGATCCTAAACGTGTGTCTAGTTTTAAAGAATTTAAAGATGAATTGAACTTTGAGGGAATTGAATTCCCAGTGACGCTTAAAAATATCCCGAAATTTGAAAAGCTTAATGATGTTTCGATTAATGTGTACGGTCTATCAAAGAGCTATGGTAACTTTACGGTACACCCTCTCCATCTCACTGCGGAAAAAAGAGATAAGCATGTAAATCTCTTGTATGTTGCCGACATGTATGCGGATGAAAATAATGATGATAATACTGTATTGTATGACAACGATGATTTTATGAACTTCCATTATGTATGGATTAAAGATCTGTCACGCCTTGTGTCTACACAGTTGTCTAAAAAGAAATGTAAAAAACATATCTGTGACCGCTGTTTACACTACTTTTAATCTGTAGATAGATTGAATGCACACATCGAAAATTGTAAAAAAATGAATGAGTGTAAAATTAAATTACCGACGCCTGACAAGAGTCTGATCACATTTAAAAATTATAAGAATAAAGAGAAAGTACCGTATGTAATTTACGCCGACTGCGAAAGTCTACTTCTTCCCGCCGATGAAGATGTAGACAATTTAAGTAAAACTGAAGTATTCCAGCGCCACAAATTGTTAAGCATCGGCTATTATATAAAATGTAGTTATGACGAAACATTATGTAAATATGTACCATGTCCGAAAAATGAATCTGATCCTGCTAAATGGTTTACTGAGGAATTAAGGCAATTATCTGAAAAAATTGATAATGTACAGTACCGTCCGCAATTGTCAGTCCACCCATTTTTAAAGGAATGACAAAAATTTTTTAACATAAAATTCATGAAAACTAAAATTTTTTTTGGTTTATATTTTGAAAGACGATAAAATTTTGAAAAGAATAAGACCTTACAGAAGTCATTTGGCCAAAATTTGTAGAAGATATTCCTAAAAATCGTCATTTTCAATGTTTTACAAAAATTTAAATAACTTCTAAAATAATGAACGCTTTTTAATAATCTTAGGCTTATTTTAAAGGTCTTTTTCTACGGAATAAGAATTACTTATAGGCATTAACCTGTCATTTTTAACTTGGAATAAGCATGACGTCAAAATTAGACAAAAAAATTGGAAAAATTTGAAATCAATTTTTTGTACTAAAAACTATTCTAGAACATATATAAAACATGATATGGTGTAGATTTTTCAAGAAAATTTAATAAAAATATATGTTTGAGTTTCAAAAATTATTTTTCTTTTAATAATATTATTTCAAATTTTTTGAATTTTTTTGTCCAACTTTGACGTCATGCTTACTCCAAGTTAAAAATTACAGGTTAATGCCTATAAGTAATTCTTATTCTGTAGAAAATGGTCTTTAAAATAAGCCTAAGATTATTAAAAAGCGTTCATTATTTTAGAAGTTATTCAAATTTTTGTAAAACATTGAAAATGACGATTTTTAAGAATATCTTCTACAAATTTTGGCCAAATGACTTCTGTAAGGTCTTATTCTTTTTAAAATTTTATCGTCTTTCAAAATAAAAAACAAAAAAAATTTTACTTTTTATGAATTTTATGTTAAAAAATTTTTGTCATTCCTTTGAAAATGGGTGGACTGACAATTTCGGACGGTACTGTATTTAAAAATCCGATACCAATGAATGCCTTAACTCCTCAAGAAATCAGTGACTTTAAGCGAGCGACAATATGTCACATTTGTCATCAGAAAATACCGGCAAGCGAAAAGAAAGTCCGCGATCACTGTCACCTTACTGGCAAATATAGGGGTGCTGCCCATGAATCGTGCAATCTAAACTACCAAGACTGTCAAACAATTCCCGTGGTGTTCCACAACTTAAGTGGTTACGACGCTCATTTTATAATTCATGCGATTTCTACGAGCTTTGAAGGAAAAATTGACCTCCTCCCCATTAACAAAGAGAAGTACATCTCTTTTACTAAACATGTCAAGGGGAGTGAGGTCAAATTTCGATTCATTGACTCATTGCGATTCATGGCAGCATCCCTAGAAAAACTCGCATCGTACCTAGACGAGTACAAAATCGTCAACTCCGTTTTTGCCAGTACGGTGACAGATCCGGATAAAATAAAATTACTAACGCGTAAAGGTGTATTCCCCTATGAGTACTTTGACTCGAAAAGTAAGTTAGACGAAACCGAATTGCCCCCGATCGAGAAATTTTATAGTACGCTTTATGATGCCGGTATTTCTGATGACGAGTATGCGCATGCGCAAAATGTATGGACCGAGTTTGACTGTAAAAATCTATATGACTATGTCCATTTGTATATGAAAACTGATGTACTGTTACTTGCGGACGTCTTTGAAAATTTCCGAGTAGAATGTGTAAAAGCGTACGGGTTAGATCCTGCCCACTACTACACAACCCCCGGTTTAACTTGGGATGCTATGCTCAAGTACACGAGCATAGGATTGCAACTTATAACTGACATCGATATGATTATGTTTGTTGAGTCTGGTATTAGAGGTGGCATTAGCCAATGTTGCAACCGATATACTAAAGCAAATAATCCGTATATGGAGAAATTTGACAAAAATGAAGATACAAGCTATATTATGTACTTCGATGCCAATAATCTATATGGCTGGGCAATGGCTCAAGCGCTCCCTTATGGCGGCTTCAAATGGGTTGATAATGTCGACAACTCCTTCGATTTTAATGTGCCTGACGATTCACCTGTTGGGTACATACTCGAAGTTGACTTGGAGTATCCTGAAAATCTCCACGATACTCACAAAGATATGCCATTTTGCGCAGAAAATGCGAAACCACCCCTCTCGAAACAGGAGAAATTATTAACAACTCTCCAACCAAAAGAAAAATATGTGATCCACTACCGCACTTTAAAACAAGTTGTCGCCAACGGCATTAAGCTTGTTAAAATTCATCGAATCTTACAGTTTAAGCAATCAACATGGCTTAAACCATATATAGACTATAATACGATGATGCGAACCAACGCCAAGAATGAGTTCGAGAAAAATTTGTTCAAGCTCATGAACAATGCGGTATACGGTAAAACAATGGAAAATGTCCGTAAACATGTCGACATTAAGCTTGTCACCCAATGGTTTGGCCGCTATGGAGCTGAAGCCCTTATTTCTCGCCCGAATTTCCATAGTCGAGCGATATTCGACGAAAATCTGGTTGCCATTGAACTGCGTAAAACCGAGGTACTACTCAACAAACCGATATATGTGGGGTTAAGTGTGCTCGATGTTTCCAAAACGCTTATTTACGATTTTCACTACGGGTATATGTTAAAAAAATACGGCGACAATTGTAAACTGATGTATACCGATACAGACAGTCTAATCTACGAAATTAAATGTAAAGATGTCTACAATGACATGAAAAATGACATCCAAAAGTTCGATACGTCAGACTATCCCGCAAACAACGTGTACGGCATTCCGCAAGCCAACAAAAAGATTCTCGGTCTAATGAAAGACGAATGTAACGGCAAGATCGTTACCGAATTTGTTGGCTTGCGGAGTAAGATGTACAGCGTACGGGTTGAAGGTGAAGACATTATTAAAAAAGCTAAAGGCATTAAATCCGGCGTTGTTAAAAAGAGTATTCACTTTGATGATTATGTAAAATGTCTGAGAGATTTTGACATTCAAACTTGAACGCAATATAACATTAGATCGCGGTTACACAATGTCGAAACTGTAAAACAGATAAAAGTAGCCTTAAGTCCGCAAGACGACAAACGATATTTGTTACCGGGGAGTACTGACACTCTACCGTGGGGACATTATGCGATCCCGAAAATCGACGAATGATTTTGTAAAACATGATTGTAAAAAAATAAAAGGTTTGTTAATAAATAATGCAATTATATACAATTTCCATGTGTTTTTATTTAAAAAATCCTTCCATATATACATAATAACATATGATTAAAACTTATATTAATTTAAATGTGCAAATCGCCCCTAGTAACTTAACGCAAATGCCAATCAGCCAGCAAAGCAATCAAAGATTAATGTTAGCGTAGAATCTCTTTATAAATCAAACTACTTCCAACAACAGACCTTTACAATGCCAGTGCCAACTGATTTAATATTGATTCATTACTGATTCATTGTTGATTCATTATTGATTCATAGTTGATTCATTATTGATTCATTGTTGATTCATTGTTGATTCATTATTGATTCATTGTTGATTCATTATTGATTCATTGTTGATTCATTATTGATTCATTAATGATTCATAGTTGATTCATTATTGATTCATTGTTGATTCATTATTGATTCATTGTTGATTCATTATTGATTCATTATTGATTCATTATTGATTCATTATTGATTCATTGTTGATTCATTATTGATTCATTGTTGATTCATTGTTGATTCATTATTGATTCATTATTGATTCATTATTGATTCATTGTTGATTCATTGTTGATTCATTATTGATTCATTATTGATTCATTAATGATTCATTGTTGATTCATTATTGATTCATTGTTGATTCATTATTGATTCATTGTTGATTCATTATTGATTCATTATTGATTCATTATTGATTCATTATTGATTCATAGTTGATTCATTGTTGATTCATTATTGATTCATTATTGATTCATTGTTGATTCATTATTGATTCATTGTTGATTCATTATTGATTCATTATTGATTTAATGTTAATTAAATTTGGCACTGGCAGTGTAAAGGTCTGTTGTTGGAAGTAGTTTTGATTTATAGAGAGGTTCTACGCTAACATTAATCTTTGATTGATTTGCTGGTTGATTGACATTTGCGTTAAGTTACTAGGGACGATTTGCGAATAATAGATTATACATTTGCTTTATCTTCCCACGTATTGTGAGAATTATCAAAGCCAAGCCATTTGACAAGAACTTTGTTTCCACGTGTCTTGAGAATTTTTTCCACAAGATAAATATCTGAATATTTTACTTTAAGAAGTTCCTCTTCATAAAATCCTCCGCTGATGGGTTGATCCTGGTAATCCTTGAGCTTGTAAGTCACTGGTTGAGTTGATACAACTTGATCCACGGTGAATATTTCTGTTGTCCAATTGGGTGTATATCCTTTCTCAAAAACGTTTTTATATTTGCTTACTCGAACTTTGTCACCAATTTTATACTTTGGTCGTCTTAAAGGAATTTTTCTCAGTTTAGAGATCCTTTCTTTTAAAATTTCAACGTCTTCTGAAGTAACATCTTTAGGCTTCATTCCAATTGTTCTATGTTTTGTATCATTATAGTTGGAAATAAGAGTAGGCAATATATCATACCACTTGTAATTTCCTCGTAAACTAAATTGCATCCACATGTTTCTTTTTAGTGTTCGATTAAACCGTTCAACAATAGAAGCCTTCATATTACTGTATGTTGAGTAAAAATTTATTTTATACTTTTTCATTAATGCTTCAAATTGTGAGTTATAGAATTCTTTTCCTTTGTCACTATGCAAGTTTTTTGGTATACGTTTTTTAGCAAATATAGATTGCATTGCATGAGAAACATCTTTTCCATTTTACTTTTTACTGGAACAGCCCAACCATATTTCGAAAATATGTCTATAACTGTTAGTAAATACTTGAAACCTTTATTTATTCTTGAATAAGGTATCATTTCTACTAAATCTGCTTGCCAGGTCTCATCAATATCACGCATTTCAACTCGCCGTCGAGGATAATTTTTTCTAGCCTGAGTATGAAGTTCATTCACTACTGTTAATTTTTTGTTGTTCATTCT